ATTAGAAGGGAGAGTGGAAGGGAGAGTGGATATAAGCAGGAGTAAAAAGAGCAAGAAGCGTAAACTATACGATATGGGTAGAATGATCAAGACAGCTCAGGTATTTTCTTAGGGTAAACCTGACGTTGAAGTGTTGCAAAGCTTGATCAAAAGCGCCGAGAAGGCGGGTTGGATCCCCACTACTTAAATGGTTGCTGCGGACCCAAAGACGCAACCAAGGACAGGACAGTGAAGTCATTGGCAAGGAACCGTTTATTATTCAAGGACATCGATAAATATATATATTGATGCCTTTGTTTTATTTAAACTAATGCCAGCCCTACATGAAATAACTCAAAAACATGCGGTTACAAAAAGTGAAAGTAATTCTGGAAAAGTATTCAAGCTCTAACTATTATGCCACCTCTAGCGTCTATTCTCAAGGGGAGCTACCCGGCTCTTAGGTCTTTATCCAAGTAAATTCAGAGGACAATGACAGTTCAAGTACCAACCGTGGTATAGAGTTACAGGTTTTCCGAAGATCCTGCAGCTAAATCCCAACATAGTTTATCCGAATAAAATGATATACAAAGGATGTTCAGCTCCATTGAGGTGATCCCGCCATACAGGTATACCCACTGCCCCAGTTCAGCCTTAGTGACAGCAACATAAAAATCAGTCACATAGTGAAGTATGACCGTTAACGAAGCAAGAGAAAACCATCCACTTGTTTAAAACTTAGAAAGGTTCTTCCCATCTATCAAAAGTGCAGACAGGGTACTTTCACCGCAAGTATCCCACCTGTATACCGCCACTCTGCTGTTCCGAATAAAGTATTTTCCGTGTAAGACTCCTCCTCATGGGAAACCCTGCTGATCCTCATTTGGAGGGAGTGGGTTTCCTAATTCCTCTAGTTTCATAGAAGATTGAGAATATGTATTATGCACTGGGATCTGGACAAGGATAGTGATTCTCCATATCTTCGTGCCTTGTTAACCTCGGCGGGTTTGCTATACTGCTGCGTAGCAGACCCTTATAAGCAACTTTCTCGCACGTGTTTGTCAAAACAGGCCAGTCGATTCGAAAACATCAAGAGAGAGAGGATATTATGAAACTCTGCAACACTGATCGATTGCAGGAAAGGGATTTTATTTCGGCGTTCATAACCAAGATTAAACCAGCCATCTTCCATCCAAAGCAACAGATAAATACTTGTGATGATGTTGAAGAGTTTGACGTTTACTGATATCAACAGAAGGAGAACCACGTGACTAATGACCAGGCCAGCTGTCGCAAGTCCCCCAATCTCCAAGATTAATCTCCTCCTCTGCTGCTGCCGAAGCTCTCCAGATGCAGAATTATTCCATCCATACTTGATCCCGATACCCCCACCTTGCACTCTCTGCCGCCTCCGTGACCCAAGCCCTTCTCTTGCATTTATTCTGTCTTCCTTGGCTTCTCCGCCTGGCGCAATGTCGGTGAACCTCGTAACCGAAGATGATCGCCGCATGTCGAAAGATCCCAGTGACATCCAGGGTCTTACAGCAAGGCCGACCCAGAAATTCTTGCGCTTTCAACGTCGGTACTATCCAACTGCGCTGTGCAGGAATCAAGCCTGCTAACTGATGTATATGCAGGGCCGTTTACTCGGGAAGTTAGCCAAACACTTACCATAGAAAACAACAACACTGAGCCGGTGGCATTTAAGGTATGGTTGACCGATATTTTTGAAAGGACAACTCAGCCGATTTGAACTGCAGCTCACAATATGGCATGGCGCATAGGTCAAAACAACAGCACCCAAAAGGTTCGCCAGCCCCATACTCTACTCTCTGAGTTTTAATCCTTTCGATGTTTTGACCTTTTTGCTCTTTAGCTACTGCGTGCGCCCAAACTCTGGCCGGATCGGAGCCGGAGAGAGTGTAGATGTCCAAGGTTAGCACTCCAACATGTTGCGACAAGGCTTGGGATACTAAAAGCATTTAAAGTTCTTCTTCAGGCAATGAAAGAGGACAATGCTGTTGTTCATTCAAAAGACAAGTTCTTGGTGCAGTCTGTCACTGTATCCACCGATAAAGATTTCTCGAATGTCAGCTCGATCGTATGTTTCCCTTCCCTTCACCATCACCCTCTAGTTTAAGCATGGAACATGAGCTTACCATAACAATAGTGGCAGCATGTTGAACAGACCTCAAAAAGTTCGATTCATGAGCAGAAAATCAAAGTAGAATTTCTGCCGGCCAAGACTTCAACTGAGCAACCTGCATCCAGTGCAGTCAATGGAGTCGTATGTCCCAGATGCAACTATATTTTCCCGTTAGCAATGGGGAGGCTTTGTGTTTACATAGTTTTCTTGTCCAGACTTCGCCCGAGGAGGAACCTCCCACATATACGTCCCCCACCACCGCCAAATTTGATACCCCAGCAGCAAACCGCGCTTCTCCGCCTGATACGACGTCACCAGCTACAGAAACCCAAGAGTTCAACACTTCATCTCCTCCCGCTACAGCTCAGCCAAAGCCTGCAAACGAGAATATTCTAAAGGCTCAACTTGCGGAAGCAAAAGCTCAAATTGAGAAATTGAAAGACCAGCTTGCCGATCAGGGTCTCAGACAACGGAAAATCGGCACCACACAAGGATCGACGACATCTACCGGGTTACAGCAGCAACAACCCCATCAGGCAGCAGAATTTGGCGTCCCTTTGCCGGCCGTTGCCGGTCTTTGTTTTCTCAGTTTTCTCCTGGCATACATCTTCTTTTAGATACTCCGCACCGATTGATCATCCATGACTTCCAGAGTCCCTCTTGAATGCTCTCTTGATCAGTCAGTATACAGCCAACACACGCTGTGGCTATCACTCGGACCATTAACTAATATTCGGTCCCGTCCTGTCTTTTGATCGAGTTACATTGAGCTGTTTTATTCAATATTCCCTTTGTTTTCTAATTCTGTTTTCCTCTTGAAATGGTCGATATCCTTGCGCATTTTTCCTATCCCCCTTTTACCTTTTCGTTCTTGTTTGACTGCACCTATGACAGATGTATTCCTCATTTCTAATGTGCACCAGGTGCCCTCCATTCCTGCTATCAATTTTTCTTGCCGTGTTAGTTTTCTGTTACTTATAATTTCCTTTATTACTCTGATCAATGTGATATGATGTGGATTTTCTCCCTTGCGTCTTCCTTGTCTCATTTATCCATGTTCTGTGAAAAGTGTTCGATTTCGATAAGTGGACGACGAATTGAGTTTGGCAAACAGTGAAAACAACGAAATACTTCCGGATATTTTATTTGAGATTATATATGTGAATGTTTAAAGTAAATATGCCTAGACAGTCTTTAGTTGCCAGACTATAAACTATAATGTAAAGGTATGTACTTCTCAGCATAACGAATGGGCTCCAGGCTGTGGACCCGGCGATGATGTAATGGCACCTACAACCCCTGCAAGCCCGGGTAACAATAGAAATGGCATCTCTAAAATCAGGCCCAGACGAATAGAAGACCTTTTTTTTTTTGGTTTGTTTGCTTTCAGCGCTCTGTTGATTGAAGTTTTTATGTTCTTCTATTAATCTTACAACTAATTTTCATTTATCTCATGAGAAATCTTCTCATTTGTTCGTTGGAATAGTTTCACGTGACTGGTAATGAATATTCAGAGTTCCTGACTTGGCCAAAACATCACTCTGTTGGGTCTTACACATTACCAATATCTTCCATGGGAGACTTTCATCAAAATCTATATGAATATAAAGGAAGTATTAAGCGCGTCAGCTAGTCTGCCGCACTTGTGCAAAAAGAACTTGATCTTCAATCGTATAGCACAATCGAAAAACACGGTCCCTATATGCTGGTTCGTCCGTCTCCACGAGCTCTCCAGGTCAACTATGCATATATAGGTTCCCATTCAATTCTACTGCAGTTTGAGTGGATCAAATTCGCTGCTCAAGATTGGGAATCGTTCATTGGGACATCTTTGGTATATAGGGGTTCGTTGGCTGCTAATGAAGAAAGTAGAGCGAGAGTCAGAACAGGAATACGATATTAATTCAAATCAATTGTGAAAAGAGGGGGTATCACAAATTGCACCGTCTTGACTTAGAAAGGAAAGACGCAGGACAAGTAGAAAAGAAGGAAAGGGAAAAAAATAAAAATAAAAATAAAAATTCGCTGTGGCAGAAGCATCACAAACCAGAAAGCGACCCGTTAATATATCAATAGACTCTTCATGAAGACTTACCCTCCAATATGTGCTGCCGGACAAGGAGATCATCGTCGTAGACGGGGAGAACCGTGGCGCGGCCAACAACATGGCCCTTCTCCATGTCAAATCCACGGTCATTACCCCATTTATAAAGAGCCGGAAAAAAGCAAAACCCCACAACGAGCTTGCGACCACAGCTTTCACTATCTAGTCTATGAAGTTCGTCGTCCTCACACTCTCCTTCCGTGACATCCACAATGCTCATGGTTGAGACATTGAACTGCGTTCCGGGTTCGTGAAATTTGAGTTCATACGATGCGAAAGACATACAAGTTTTTAGACGAAGATTGGCTTGAAGTTTTAGGAGCTTTTGAAGACTGCGTCGTCCTTTGTCTCCCGGGGGGATGTGTGGTTCTAGCTTTGTCCACACTTCATCAACAAGTTTGGACAGTTCGGATTCTGCGCTCGTTTTTGATCCAGAGTTTGCGACTTCATTAACCTCCGGTATGTGCTGCAGGAGCTTGGTGAAACTGGATCTCCATACGTTGATATCCCGCTGTGGCACCCCTGGTTAGATGTTACGTTAGCCCCAACCAACGGTCACCAATACCACTTGCCTATGTCATGACTGGAACATATCTCACCGATCGAAGGCAAATGAAGGATTTCCTCCAGTATTTGCAAGAAAGTGAGTGATCCTCGTGGATCAATTTCCACACCAAGTCCCCTTGTGAGTTTGGAGATACCAGATGCCGCGCCGACAATGTATCTCTTACCAACAGCTTCAACGGTTTCTTTGAAAAGCGCACTAGCAAGTAGACTGTGGTAGTATTTCCTACCAAACTGGCGCAACAACTGGGTGCATTCCGGGCTAAGCAGTTTTTCCAAGCGGTCATGATCGTCGCCTGTCGGCTTACCGAAAACCTTGGAATGTGATTCCACGGCACATCCGATGGCATTTTGGAAGATTCTCCGCAGGACTTCATCAGTGACCCCTTCCGCCACGGTTCCGAGGTCCAGAATTTGCTGTCCAAGTGCCTTCTTTTCATCCTCAGCTGTCCATAGATCCTTCTTGCAGTCTTCCAATTCTTTATGAAGTGATCTAGCGACTTGCTTATAATACTCCGATTCCCGTAATGCAAGCTGTGCTGTCCGGCGTTGATGTTGAAGTTCTAAGTACATTTCTTCTATGTCTGGTTCTCGCATTGGTTTTCGAACCCTTTCAACAAACGACCGTCCCACCCCATCTTGTGTGATACCGCGATGTCCTTGGTGTGTAATCTTTGTCTCTGAGTGATCGTCAGGTCCACTCCTCCTTGAGGTATATTTAGGGGGTTGATCCTTTTCTTCCTGTGCTCTTGGAGTGTTGTCAGCCCCGGGTGATGATCTGGGAGGGGGGCCCATTGGCCGAAGGGCTTTCGATTCATGAGCAGGAAGGCGGCCATGGCGACCAGGGCTGTGATTTCGCGGATCTGGACGTACTCCTGTAGCACTTTTTGAACGCGGTCGGGTTTTCTCAGGACGACGAGGTGCTGTAGTTGTAGGTGAATCGAGGATAGCATCCGCTGTGCCAGTCTCGCGCTTTGTGCTAGCAGTCGGTTAGCTTTGAAGTGGACGTCCGTTTGGATGTCTAGAACAGATGATTAAAAACAAAAGAGCAAATTCACCCGTTTTCTTCAACATTTGGAGTATTTCCCATAGCAGCAAGCGCCTCCTCTAATTCGTCAAGTTCAATTAACTCGTCCGACTTCTGCTCTTTTGCCATAGTGGCAGAATCTGCTCTTATGTTCATTGCTGCAGGTGAGAAGCTTCCGCTCTTATTGCTCTATTTGTTCCTTATCGTGGATATATTAAGAAACAATATCTCTATAGCTATGCGCTTATAGTTGATCTTTTCAACTTGGCAAAAAAGTAAATAACATTTGAAGCTTGGGCTTCGGAAGTGGTTTAACCTCGCTTCAAGAGAGGGGAAGCAATTCAACAAGGCTCGAGGCTGACAGACGTGGCGGGCAATGGGCTGCACTAAAGAATGAGTAATTAAGACCTGAGAGGTCTGAAGAGAAGTGAAACCTATGCCCTGCTATCCATTCCCAAACGGTCGGGAGAATGAAGCGATTCATGCAGCATATTTAAGCCAAGACCAATGGAGGAAGAAGAATACGAACGCATGCAAGGCTGCAATGGATTCCCCGTTTTCGAGGGCCACAGCATGAAACCACAGAACCCCATAGGCTTTTTCCTTGATTCATATAAGAGGGGTTCCAGGTGTTTCGCAGTGTCTTTCATATAAACATCATTTTGCTAAGAAGGTCCGCGAGAGCATTGATAGTTTTAAGGGGGAAAAAAAAAGGCAACCACATAGTTATTCTGATATTTAATTACTACAATAGCATTCGTTCCTGTGCTATTGAGAAAAAGAGGGAGGAATATTCTTTGCCAAAATGCTTACGAGTATTATGATAGCCGTCGACTTCGGGACGACTTACTCTGGCCTTGCGTTCAGTGATCCATCCCAGGTAAGTGGATATGTCAGAAACGGAGAGGGTCTTGAAGAATGCAGGGCAGATGCTAACCAGCATGCACTATATTTGCTTCACGGATTTAGCGAACCGACGCTGCCATCCCTATAACTGACTGGGGTCGGGGAGTAAGCAGCCAAAAAGTTCCATCGTAAGGAATAAAAATCCCATCCTCAACCTTCCTGCAAACACCCAGTGCAACTAACGATTTGAAACAGCGAAATCCGCTTCGACGGCCCAGGGAACGAGCAGTTTAAATGGGGGTTTCAGATCAAACATGGCCAGGAGAGACACATCTGGTTCAAACTGGACCTCGATCCCGACAACTCTCGAACAGGCAAATTGACCCAGCTCTCAAGAACTCTGAAGGATCTCTTCGTGTCCCCGCCTGAATACCAACGGACCACAGAGGACATCGTGGCCGCTTACCTGACAGGCCTACGCAGACATGCCGTGGCTCATTTGGAGAAACTCTACGGCGCAGCCGTTATGAAAGACTGTCAACTTGACTGGATCATCACCGTACCTGCCGTGTGGTCTGATCTGGCCAAGAAGAAGACGCGGACAGCAGCGATGAGAGCAGGCATGGGCGATACTACCTCACTGCAAATGACGTCGGAGCCTGAGGCAGCTGCTGTTTATGCACTTAAAGCTCTAGATCCGCATCATATCAGGGTTGGAGAGAGCGTAGTTATCTGCGATGCAGGTGGGGGAACTGTTGACTTGATCACGTACAAGATGAAATCTGTAAACTATCCGTATGAAGTCGAGGAGACAGCAATTGGCGGAGGAAGTCAGTGTGGCAGCACGTTTTTGAACAGGAAATTCGAGGAACTGCTCATGCGGAAACTCAATGGGAAGCCTATTTCTAAAAATGCAAAGGCCATGGTGATTATTTGTTATTTTATGATTATCTTTACATCTGCATTCCCTTGCACTTTGGCATGGATTCTACTTACTATATCATCTGTGTCTAGGCAATGAGCCATTTTGAAAAGGAGGTAGGTATCTGCAAATTTCCAATCCAGAACCCTCAAAGTTATAATCTGACTAAAATCACAGGCCAAACGCAATTTTGGCACTGAAGATGACGATGAGGATGAAGAAGATATTGAATTCCAGATACCCAGTAAGCTAGCTGTCTTGTGAACCAATTTATCTTCTCCAATCTTGCCTGTTAAATCGCCTAACGTTGCGATTAATCCTATCCAGTCCCCGGCGTCGAAGATGACCCCAGCGTTGGAATCTCTGCTGGGTTCCTCGAAATGAGTTACGCCGAAATGAAAGACGTATTCCGTCCCGTAATGAAAGAGGTGCTTTCGCTACTAAACGAACAGATCGAAGCTGCCTCCGCACAAGGTCCCATCAGCGCTGTTATTCTCGTTGGCGGCTTTGGAGAAAGTACGTATCTCTACCGCCAGATTAAACAAGCTGTCTCACCGATTCCGGTTTTACAGCCGCCCAACGGGTTCGTACATACTCCTCCCTCCTTTCTCCCAGTATCTTCCCGGATCATAATATGTCAGTTAACTTCTTGTTTAAGGTGGACGGCAATCGTTCGCGGAGCTGTGATGAAAGGCAAATCCGAACTTTCTTCTACTCCAAGTTGGAATGTGAAATCGCGGTACTGCCGTGGGAATTATGGATTGGTGCTATGGATGCCTTGGAAAGTGGGTATGCCAACGGACAAGAAGTATGCACCCCTTTTATTTCCGCTAGCTATTGTAGTTCAATTTCAGCTTGTTCCTCTCGGTCCTGACATGACTATGTTCAAGGGTTTGGGATAAGTACGAGGGCCTCTATAAGCACTCAGAGTGTATGCAGTGGTGTATTAAGAGGGTACGTGTTCCCCTAGCCTCTTCTTTTATCGTCTTAAAACCCGCTCATATCAGTATTATATCGTACTTTGATATCCATCACTCAATATCAGCACTGAATCCTTCATGTACATACAGGGTGACAGAGTCCGAGAGAACGCTCCCAAATCTTTCCCTCTATATCGTGCCGTCCCCCTTGACGACCCCTTAATATTTTCTAGTTCGATATACTATTCTCCTCTGGATGGATCGAACGCACCAGTCTATTTGAATAAAGGTATGTGGAAAGACCACCCCCCCCCCCCCCCCCCCCCCAAAAAAAAAAAAAAAAAAACAACAACCCGCCTCACCCCCTAGTTAATGCTCTTTAGACTGCCGTGAACACTGCGTTCTGAATTACAATCTCTCCTCCATCCCACGGTCGAAATTCAAGCGCAAGCCTGGATCTCACGGTGATGACTATTATGAAGTCGAGTACTCAATCGATGTCACATACTACTCTGCGGAGATGAAATTCGAACTTGTTTGTCAAGGTATGCATACCTTACTTGCAGCTGGTTGGAGTAGCAGAAAAGCTAATCCACCCTCTCAAAAACTAGGAGAGAAATACGGTAGTGTCACGGCCAAGTGGCTGGAATAAATAGTTATTATCAGAACAGAATGCCCAATCTGAACCTTTGTTCGATCCATCACACTATCTGAGCTGCTTAATCTTCCCTTCTCGTCCCTTTCTTTCCCTCAATCTTGGTATTTCCCAATTTGCATTTTCATTGCTTTGTTATATTGATTTTCCCCCCCCTCCTTTTGCATATATATGAAGCGCTTCTATGATGTCAATGAAATATGACCCATGCAATATGAAGACACGGTTTTCCTCTTTTTACTTTCCTGGTCCTATTCTTAGTATAAATTTGTGTCTCACATTCAAGATATATAATACACTTGTGTTTGATGCCCCCCAATAGAGAACAACGAGCTAGATATGACATCTAACCAAATTCCTTGGAATAGTTTGTTGTTTCAGAAGGAAGACTATTTCATGAAGCTCGGTAATCCCTCCAATGCTCCTACTAACACTGAGAGAGCAATCTTAGGCATCTAACAAAGCGAAAGTGAGTATCTAATTAATTTCAAGATGAAACACATTTTATAATGCATCAAGGCAATACAAATACACCATCTATCAAATGATGAGAAACTAACTGCAAAGGCAGAGGCTTCCAAAGGTATATACTGTCCTGTCTATCTTGCGCATGTATGACAAAACTAAGGGAAAACAAGCCAAGGAAACAGGAAGGGATTACATTACAGAAATTGGTACATATAAAATACTTGTATATTGTGGGAGGAACAGAAAAATTATCCGGCGTTGAGTGTCAAGGGCAGCAGGATAAGAACGAGAGAATAGGACAGACCGTATTACCATGAAATATAGCATCCACTCCCAAATTCAATTCTGGATCTCAGACTCCTTCCACTCGCCACCCGTGTTACTATTTCTGCCACCTCCTCCAACAATTCTCCCGCCCTCAGCCCGCTTCACGCGACACCACATCCCGACATTTGAATCCAAAATGAATGTATAGATGACCCAGACCCAGCTACGATGCGAGGGAAGCGGTTCATAAAACTCCTTAGCAATATTGTGCACAGCATGAAGCCTTGTCCAAGGCACGGCGGGAAAATCGTGATGCTCGTTGTGCAACCCGACATTGTAGGTCAGGAGGTTCAGGATCCCATAGTACGAGTAAGTTTCTGGCGGCTGCAGGTTTGCAAGAGCTGAGGGGGAAGCTGGCGCCTCCTCTTTCTTTCCCTGATTTTTGAGATCTTTCTTACGTCGCTGTTCCGCGATTGATTCTGTGCCTGAACCGACATTGGAGAAGAAGTAATGTTCTGCGATGAAGTGGCCGGCGCAGGGATGGAGGGAGCCAGCGAGGAATGAGCTGAGGATTAGGTAGTAGATGGGTTGCGGGGAGGAGCCGCAGAGTTTGTATAGGCAGAAGTCGAAGGTGAATTGGACTATGATGTTGAGTAAATGAATTGATGTGAAGGGCGGAGAGTAGATGAACATGGGTCGCAGGGCGTAGAACAGGATTTGGAATGTGCAGAAGAAGGCCTTTCCAAGGACGGAGTCGAGGAAGAAGGCTTCAAGAGCAGTGGGAAGATCAGTGTCAAGATTGGCTACCCCGAGAGATTTGTGGTGTGTTAAGTGGTAGGGCTGGGTTGGGTCAGTATTTGAAGAAAAGAAAAGGGAACCTAAATTTGCAGAGGTACATGGAATCCAACGTACCCTGAATGCGGCACTGTACGGTATGCCAATTGGTAAGTTTGCAAATATAGCTAGTAATCTGTTTGCAAATGGCGATTTGAAGGCGAGGTTATGCGATATCTCATGGATTGCAAGGAAGAGGTTCTGGTTCGCTGTGGCG